GGAATATCTTATCTTATCTTAAGTTTGCTAATTTTAGCAAAATGTTACTAACTAACAATTAATGTAAATTAGCTCGCTAATTATTTAGCGCTCACTAACATTAACTTTCATATAAAGCTAGATAAGATATCTATAGTCAATCATTAGGTAGCTTATACAGCAAAACATTAATTAACTTAAAATGTCTCTTATTTTTTTAAAGTGTTTTGTTTGTTTGTTCTTAACATATCTTTGAGCCACGAGCACCAAAATCGACATTTTTACATCTTAAATAATATTAACAACATTTGTAAACACTAACTTTGATGGAAGATGTGAAGACTATACATAGGCTATATATATATATATATATATTTATCTTTTAACCATTGTCAAAATGTGGCTGTCTCTTAAACATAGATTAGCCAACACGTAGCATATCGAAGCACATTTTGGAAAAGTCTCGACCCGCCACTCTGGTTCTGATTGGCTAGTACTCGTTGCCTTCATTGGTTTGGTTGGTTCAGGCATGAGGAGTTCATTTGTTAATCCGCTGCTGAAAATAGTTCCCAACAATGCACTATTTCCTCTTGTTTGAGCGGTGTTTCTTAAAGTAAATGACCAGAAACTGTATATTTAAAATCTTCAGTCAGACACAATGGGCTGTGGAGCTGAGAGCCCAGCCCATAAAAACATAAACACACCTCTGAAATCCAGTTATTTAACCATTTGGAAGATTTATGTGGTCATTTGTTTTAAGGTTGAACGCCGCTTGTTATAGGATTTCAAGACGCCGGTGTCTCCACAGATACCTGGTTTTAATGTGACAGAGGTGATAAATGCTTCACATCCTCCATCCTGACCCCCACATCCCTTCAAATCTGATCCAGAGACATCCTCCGCTCCCCCGCGACACCCTAAATACTCTCAATCTAAAAGAATGACTGCTGAAATCTGGCGTGATGGATGTCGCCGTAGCCTCCCCGTGACACCCGAACCCCGCAGACTCAGAACAAACCCTATCAATAAGTGCTCCAGATTGATTCACAGCTAATACAGTAAACGATCTGTTCTCGGTGATGGAAACTGAGTCTGGCAGAGGATATTACTGACTAAAGTCTCGTGGAAATTGGTCCTGTGACACATTTTAGAGAGTTTGAGAATCCTAAAAGCTAACTTTCTTTAAATAAGTGAAGAAATTTCGCAGTGCAGTGAGATATTCCAGTCTTTAAATGTCAGATGAGATTATAAACAGCAGTTCAAAACACCAAAAATTCAATTTCTAATCATTAAAAGACATGAAATCTTTACATTTGAGAGTTTACAACCAGCCCAAAGCCACATTTTTGGCCATTTTTGATTAAAAAACAAACCAAATCTATTGAGATTTGTAGATTATTTTTCCGTTCATAGACGAACACTTTCAGTTCTAGTTAAAAATATTATATATAATATAAATGATATACAGAATAAAAAAAGATATCTTTCCCTGGTTGCATTTTCTTTACTTTATTTCTGGCTTCACCTCTTTTATTATATTTTATTCTATATGAAATTATATATTAAAAAAAGCCCCAAAGAAATATTTAACAAACTTAACAAAACTTTCTTGTTTGCTGTACTATTATGCTATGCTAGCCTCGTCTATGTTGAAAAGACAACCACATCTTGAAGATATTAATAATTATTAATATTATTTTTAGTAATATTATTATTATGTCAACACAAACATAGACAAGCTAACACATAGCATAGTTGACCAAGGTTTTTGCCCAAAAAAATGAAAATGCTAAAATGAGTCACATGTACACACATATATTTACACATAATATAATTATTACTCATTTCTAATATTTGGAAGGATGCACTTTATAATACGCTAACACAGGGGCTCGTCCTGCAGATCCCACCAGCCCACCCTGCTCTATCCAATGAGCTGCTCTGACACTGATTAAGGAGAATGAAATTCCTATCAGAGCGTCCAGGTGGATGATGAAACAAAGATCACAGGAGAGGCGTATAAATAAAAAAGGCTTGTATACATTTTTCATGTCAAGCAACTTCAAACGGCCGTGGGGCCTTCAGGTATCGGCCACGTGCTGCACAATATTTCTCCCCGCCGACCCTGAGCCAGCGCTTTTCCATAAACATCGAGGACTTATTGTGCCGCTGTGACATTTCCAACGTACGCCATCGTCGGGCACAGCAGCAGGTATATTTAATGCAATGAACGCCTACTTTGATCCGGCGCTTCGCTCTGAACCTTAAAAGGGTAGCCGTGTCTGAGAGGGAGACTGATGGTGGAGGGGGATGAACACCAGAGAGTGTAACGTCATCTGTGTGATACTACATGCCAACTTCTGCTTTCCCTGCTCTTCCAAAGAAGTGGCACTTCCTGTTTGTCTCAGATATACTCGCCATGACCATAACTGCATTCAGGGCTATTTCTGGCCCAAACTGTTTGTACCTATTGAATCCAAAATATTACCCTTTAAAGCCATTGTGATGCTACACTGAGTTGTGATAAGGTGAATGTTGCCTGTGTCATTCATAGATATAGAAACATAGATACCTCATTGGCTGGTGCTATATCTCTGCGTGGCATATGACCTCCACTATATTGCAATAATATAATAATCAAAAGTGACCTCTGACCATGTCTAAAGCCACATTAAAGGTCTAGTGTGTAGGATTTAGTGGCATCTAGCGAAGGTCCATCACCTCACCCCCCTTTCAGTTAGGCGTACGGGGAATGACAGCATAGATGTAGAAACATAGATAATGCGTTTTCATTCTGACATGTGCGGTCGCCATATTAGTACCACTGAGTACTTCTTCAGAGGTTTTAATGCTTCAAAATATATCTGCCTCAAAGTGTGACTTTTCAAGGACAGACTGAAACTGACTAAACGCTCAGCGGCAGTTTTGGTTCAAACAATCTATTCGAGGGAGAAAAAGTTATAATCTTCCAAAAATAAAACTGGATTGTAACTGCAAACATTTGATGAATTCATGCAATGCACCAGCCGATACGGTCAGTGGAAAACTTGCACGGCTCAGAGGCTGAACGAGCGGTCAGCCTGGCTCGAACCCTTCCCCGCAGGTTCAGCAGACGGAGCGCAGGGTTGTGAATGAGCCCGCTGTGTTGTGCTGTCGGAGGCCAAACTCTGCGCTGCTGAGAGCGGCGGCAGGCTGCCAACAGCGAGAAAGCCGTCCAGCCGGGCTCACTAAAGCTGTCATAACTTAGTTTCCAGCCGCCCCGAACACTGTGCAGGCGCTGGGGCCAAAACAAACGGAAAGCACGTTTGGCTCTGTCTCGCCAAACTGTCATTGTTAAGTTATTCACTGAAACTGTTGGATGTGGCTGTGAGAAGAAAAATCACTGTACTTGCCAAGGGCAGTGTGTGTTTGGTTATTTGAAACTGTGGCACAAACTGAGAACCTTTTACTCCTCTACAAGAGCAAGGAAGGCTTTTTCTTTCTCAGCTCTTTGTATGTTTGTCAGTTTATCTTTGTATGGTGGGATGAGCAAGATTTTCATATTGTGGAGCAATTAATCAAAAACCAACAGTTGTCCTGAAAGGTTGGAAAACATTTAGAAAACCGCTGCAAAAAAACAACTTATGAAGTCACTTCTGCCTGTAATTTGAATCCTTAAAGGTCCAGAGTGAATTTAGGTGCATCTAGCGGTGTAGTTGCAGATCCCAACTCCCTCACTTCATCCTCACCTTCTAAACAAGAAGGAGAAACTACAGTGACGATGTACAGCCAGTGTTTGGTTTGTCCGTTCTGGGCTACTGTAAAAATATGGTGGGTCAACATGGCAAACTCCAAAAAAGTCAACCCTAAACGTCTGTAGGTTCATTTTAGGTTGAAAACGTATCTTCAAAGAGTGTAACTCAGTGTAACTTCACTTCTGCTAGTTCCCTCGCCCCCTCTCAGGTAAAACTGTTGCACTGGACAACTGCCTATTCGAGTTAGGAGGGCAGTTAACACAGTTTTTATTATTTGCAATTCCATAAATTAGTATGTTGAAATGTACACACCCAGGAGTTTAATGTGTTCCATTCACGAGCTCCCGTTCATACAAAATGGGTATATTATATATTGTGTCTTATTATTATTAGTCTTTTTGGGGGATGAGCTCCTGCTTTATTTTCATTATTCTTTGGCTGTGCTTGGGCCTAAACTGGAGAAAATGGGTTGCAGTCATGGGCCGTCTTAAGTGCGCTTGCAGGAGGGCTCCTCGTTTTGAGGACGGAGGCATCTTCCGTTCATCTTGTTGCTGTTTCCCCAGCAAAGCTGCGACATCGTTTGGAACCTGCAACCCTCTGCGTATCGGCTTTCAAACAGTCGGGTTACATACAGACCGACATGGGCACCGGAGAGCCTCGGGCGGTGCGCCACGCTCACTCTCCAAATCACGTCCACACACACTCACCCTCCCCGGCGGCGGGGCTTTTTTTTTTGTTTTTTTTTGCCTGATGTATAAATCGACAATGGAGGATTGGGGGGCGGGTGGGGTGAGGAGTCGAGCCGAGGCTTTCCATTGGTCCATTGTATCGAGGGGAAGTGGCACATTAACTAAAACATCTCCCCAGAGGGTTGGAGGGGGAGCGAAGTAAGGCAGGAGATGAATCTCGCTGGCTAGTTCGCTTGAACGGCTTCACCCGGAGCCGGCCGCCACCGATCAGCGGATAACAAAAAAACAAGCACCCCTGATCCTCTGCCCCCGCTCCCCAAGTCCTCCGCCGTCGACCGCCACCATCACCTCAGCTACATTCTAACTTTAGCTTGGTTAAATGGGTCAAATTTACGCGGTCTCAGACACCCGGCCCCCCAAATGGTAATAAAACTCCCGCAGGCTGCAGTAATCCCTCGAGCAAATTGATTGTTTTTCTCTTCTGCTCGGATTTCTCATCATTTCAAAATTCCACATGTCCGGCGATAAAGACATCTCCTGCTCCTCTCCAAGGTCTCAAAGCGCCAATTTCGTAAACAGAATTAACGATCATGCTTAGAGATTTGTACCGGGACGGACCGTACTTTAGAAACAACCTTTTAGGCCCCCTCCCCTTTTCACTCATTAAGGGGGACGGACCGGTTGAAAGCAAACAAAGCCAGAATTAATCGGTCCGGGAAGATTCACGCCGTGTGGTAAGGAATTAAGCCTGAATGCCGACATGGCGGTTTTCTGAGGACGGTCTGTGAACAAGGGAAGCGGAGGGTCTGATTTCCCTCGCCAGAATGGGTTGGTCGGCTTCCACGTCCCCCCCCCCCCAAAAAAAAAAACCTAAAACCCTGTATCTTTGTAAAGTCTGTAGAGAGTTTATAGGGAACCATTTAACCATTTTTATGTTTAGCAGTCAACCTGCAGCCTGTTGCAGCAGCTGTGTGAAAGTTCAAACTTTATACTTATAATGTAAATTATTACTACATTGTGATTTATGCGTTACTAAAATAAAGCTACAACTTAAAGGTCAAGTGTGTAACATTTAGGAAGATCTATTGGCAGAGTATTAATAACTATTCATTAGTGTATTATCACCTCAAAATCTGAAAATGTTTGCCTTTCAATGTTTTTATCTATACAGGTGGAGTCGGCCAGGTTGAACCCCAATGTTTGTACAGTTGACAAACCAAACACAGGCTATAGGCTGTTTTACCACTGTAGTTTCTCCTTCGCTTTTGGAAGGTGAGGGTGAAGCGAGGGAGTTGCAGTCTGAAACTAAAACCACTAGATGCCACTAAATCCTCCACACTGGACCCTCTAAGTTAGCGGTTCCTTAACCTGGAGGGTCAGGCTGACAACAAAAGTAAGGCTGTAACCAGGATTGCAAAATAGGTAACTGTCATTACAGTTAAAGATGTAATCAGATTACAGTTACATTTAGTAAAAATGGGGATTATTTAGAAGGATTACACTTTTTATATACATCTTCTTTAAAAACACACAAAAACATAAAATACACATTTTTGATGCTAAAAATCTTTCAATCTTTGTCACATTGTTCGGTTGTCCTACAGGATACATCAATACTTCTTATTGATATTTCTTGTTGTTGAGGTAATCCAAAAGTAATATGTTACTTTGCACAGTGACGCTCATTGTATGGAAACCTCAAGTGGTCCGAACTAGAGCACTGAACTGTTTTATTAATCCTGCTCCTCCTAATTTCTCTAAATGCCACACTTGCTTTACTTTGATGCTTTGATGATACTTGTTGAAACAGTTGATTGATTAGTTAAGTGGCACGAACAATCAGTCAATTATGAAGCAAAAATATCAAACACTCAGTTTCCAGCTTCTCAAATGTGAGGATTTGTATTTTTGGATCTCTGTTTTATATCACTCTAAATGTAATCTCTGACAGATTCTGATCAATAATTATCACCATTTATGGACATTTTGTTATAGACTAATTGATTAGAAACAACCCTGATACGCCAGTAAAACCAACAGGAAGTTCAGAGGCATTAAGTTTTCACAGAGTGGAGAAGAGCTTAAATTTCAAGTCATTGTCTGGATTTACATTTCAGAGCTGAGATCGATCAGATCGCTCTGCATACATTTCCTCGCAGTTGAAATCAATTCTCTGTAAATTGCCCTCATTTAGCATCGTGAAGTGCAACCCAGACTGTGTGATGTTTATCTGAAGTAATTACGGGGAATTATTGTGGGGAGATTGATTAGTTATGTCTGAATCTTAATGGGGTCGCCACATGTGGGCAGATGTCAGAGCTCCTCCGGGTTTCATGCAGACACGTTTTTGTACCAACGGCTGGAGACTAAAAAACAGACTTTAATTTTTTCTTGCTCAAAGGCATGTCAACGAGGAGGCTGCTAGTTGAAGGCCAGGTTTTAAAGTAGAATTCTTCATTAAACCTGATTTTTCTACTTTGCAGCTTCACTTCAAACTTTATAATGAAGTCATTTTTGTCTATAATTGAGTAATTGATCTTTAAAAGTTTTATTTCCTGAAGACAAATAGGCGAACTTTAGAGCCCGATCCATATATATTGACACATCAAGGATTCAAGGTTATTTTATTGTCATTTACAGCGCAGCGTTACAGAATTAAAATATAGAATAAATTAAAAATAAAAATAAAAATATCAGTCTATAAAAAGTTATTTTACAGTCAGAAACTGACAGCTGTGGTTGCCTGAACTTTACCGTAATAAATATGGTAGAGGTTTTTCTACTATTACGGTAAAAGGATGTTTGTACTATTGAGTTTTAATCCATATTTTACCTTAAACCACTGATGGTACGTTTTTTTACCATCAAAAGAAACAGTTTTGCCACATGAATATACCATATGAATGATACGACAGTGGTTTTCTGTGCAATTTACAGTCTGCAACATAAAAAAACAACTTTATTACATATTAATTCACTTAAAATGACGTATAAATAAAGTTTAAATAAAGAAGACATGTTTTACTGTTACAGAAACTTATCTACAGTTTATGGTCTTTTACGGTCATTAGTTGACAGTTTTTCACCATAAAATCCACAGACTGTTTACAGTGTATGTCATTCGATGTGCCGAAATAGTTTTTTCTGGTATATAATGCAATGCTCCCCCCCTTCCTGTCTATTTTCACCTGCACTAGACATTAAAGGCCCCAGAAATATCACTATATCAGCCGCCATATTGGTAAATGGTGAGTCGGGCTCTATCCAGTCCAATATTCTCTCTCTTATAGCTATCTATATCTATATTAGCTGCTTAATGCTCCACTATGTGGTTACACAGGTGTGTGTGTGAGGTTACTCACCGTCGATGGGTGATGTAGTCGGACAGGTGAGCCCCTCGCCGTGTGCCGGCGGCCCTCTGCATGTGCACTCGGCTGCCGTACGGGCCCGGTGGCTGGGCCATCAGTTGTAATAATCGGCCTGGCTGCCCCGGAGGAGGGAGGAGGCCGAACAGTCCGCGTTCCTTTAAGATGCTCGTTGGGCCACTGGCGTGATGGGGGGGTAGAGAGGTGGGGAGGGAATATAATTGATACGGGAGAGATGAGTAAACAGGAGCCGGGGGTGACTTTTCCTGCTCCTGTTCTCATAGATGAGGAGATCTTTTGAATGGCCAAGGGGGCCGATGGGCCAAGGGTAGGGGGGGTCCTAGTTGTTGTTGCAACGCCCAATGTTAGTTGCTCCCTCTCCTCGGTCTTCTGTGTTATGTGTGAAGCTATACACCATGTTTGTGTTTTCAGTATCTCTGTATAATAGATGTGGGTTTTTTCTCTTTTCTCAGGATTAGTAGGCAGACTTTCCACATTTAAAAGATAATCTTAAAGTGATCTTTCAGACGCAGTTACGATCCTGAACGTAAATAGTAGGAGCAAGACCTCCAGTATCACGTAGAAGAAAGCTGTAAGTTTTACTAATGATAATAATAATAAGTCATTTTACGGTATTTTTTTGGCGCCAAAATATTACCTAATAACTTAAAGACCCACATTTCCACCTTAAAAACTTGAGAACGATGAGGGGAGAGGAAGATAAAGGCCCACAAACGAGTGCTGACGAGTGGATGTTGTCAGATGCTGTGGACGGTCTGTGGGTTAAAAGCGAAAAGGTCATCCGGAACACATAAAAGCCGGCGGCCTCCGTTTCCCAACCCCTCGTCTTTCAACAACCTATTTGCATTCCCTCTCTCGCGCGGCTTTTCTCATGACCGGATCTCAGGCTCGGCCGCTTATTTAGGTTTAAAAGCGTCGCCACATTACCACTGACAGACTGTAAAAGAAGATTTATATCCCGCCCCGCCGCCGCGCTCCAATCTGTTATTGTAATTCAGCACTGAAGAAAGAGTTGTCATCGGGATATTTGTTCAGCAGCAGCTCTGGTTTTCTTTTATCAACCTCCACAGATTTCCTTTTTAAGGACCCCCTCTCGGTTTCAAAGCACCTGGGAGCAGCAGGTCAAGGTTTCCCCCAGATCCAGTTCATGTTAGAGTGTTTGTGTCTCTTTCACCACCACAACAACAACAACAACAATGCATTTACTTTAATAACAACAACATATACTGTATTATAACGGGAAACACTTCCTGTTATACATATGATAACTTACACTGTTGTAATGTGTCATTATAACAAGATAAATTTAGTTTAGTTAAAACAAGAGAAGTTATAACGTAAAATATTTCATGTTATAATATAACTTATTGTTATAAAAGTGTTATAGGAATATGAAAATATCTTGTTCTATCAAATAAAATGTTTTCTTTATAAACTTTTCTCATGATACTGATCTGTATCAGGTAAATTACTTCAACAAAAGGTTTTTTAGTTATTTCAAAACTACTTAAAACGTACAAATTTAGTTAAAATGAAGTTATGAGTTTTCTCACTCTCTCTTTTTACAGTGTATAAAACAATGAATCTATGTCAAATAGAAGAAACTGTAAAATATGTTAAATGTTAAAATGTTCTTTGATACCAAAAGGTAGAAAAACAGCCAATTTTCAACTGTATTTAAGTGAGTTTAAGCCCTTTTTTTTACCTGTAAACCACTAAATCGATGAGATTTTGGTCATAATTGATCGGTATGAATGTGATCATCTATCAGAGATAAATCTACTTTCTGTGTCTTCGGTTGGTCAACTCACGGTCGGCGGGGCTGAGTCCTCTGGCTGCGGAGATCATGGACAGGGTGGGGCTGCTGTGCACGGAGCGCAGGTAGTGCTCCATGTGAGGGTTGACGTACGGGTGAGGCGGGCTGAAGGGAGAGTCTCCGGTCGCCACGGCGGCGGGCGAGAGGCGGATCAGGGAGATATCGGAGATAACGGGGCTGCCGGCCAGACCTGCGGGGCTGGACGAGAAGAAAGAAAAGAAACATTTGCTGTTTGGACACAAAATGGCGTCCCAAGGAAATAGTGTATGTGTCAGGGACTATTTTCAGTGGCGGATTAATCCACAAGAGGATGGCTCATTGATGTGTTTTTAACAGGTTTCAAATCAAGTTTAAAGTTAATATTCAGACTTTATGAGTGAACATCTCCTCTTTAGATGTTGCACTTCATCAGCGCGACCACCTGAAACGCCAACACCCTCGACAGAACTCTAGTAATCCATCTGGAAAACCCGATCCTCCTCCTCGCCACCGAGTGTGAGCTCAGACAGCGTTAAGAGTGAGATCACGTCTAACGCAGAGCCTTTATCGAGCGTTTGATCTGAGCGAGGCGGAGGAAGGGGTGAGATCGGGGTCACAGGGAAGGAGGAGGAGGCGTTGCGTTGGCGGGCAACCACCTCTGCAGATGACACCTCTCCCCGCGGGGCGTTTGTCGGTGTCGTTTATCGGCGTCAGCTCATCCGGAGAGAGAATTTAGGAAGATGAGCCTGATAAATGAACGTACAGCCGACACCTCCGTCAGTATTTCTGTCTGACATATAAAATATGTTCAGGAAGGAGATGTTTAATTAAGTTTACTGAGTTTAAAAACTTCAGGTTGGCTTCCTACAGCAAACAAAAACAATCTAAGAACCCAAAGCTAGTGTGAAACATTTTAATAAGTAATGGTCTTCACTTTACACTACGTGTTGTTTTTTATTCTCAAAACAAAAAAGGATCGATCCTTCTAGTGCTCACAGGGAATTAAGATCCTCCTTTTTTAGTTAGCTTTTCTGTAACCACCACTTCTAAGGATGCTAGCTTTGCTGTTCTTTTCACTGACACTCCGTTACAAACAATCGATTAAGGGCACGTCAGGCTTGTGTGTGTGCATGCTTATACATTTGTTTTCACAGTCAACCAAACATTCATTGTCTGAACTCTTGGAAGATAATCTGATCATAAAAGCAGCAATTTAACAAGCAGACAAGGTAGAAGATCTTAAACACACACAAAAAAATCACATCATCAGTTATTCATTGGACTAAAATGTGCTGATCTCATATTTCACTGCTTCAAAGAGTCGCGTCCGAACATCAGTGTCAGTAAAATACTTTCACCTGGAGGAAAAAACTTTCTTCAGAGTGATGAAAAGGATGTTTTTCTTTCTCTTGAACTTCCAGGTTGTTTAAGTACGGAGCCCCAAAGAGGACAAACAAATAAATAAATCTGAAAGAAAACAACAACTTGAGGAGGCAAAAGACACATTCATTCTTCAAGTATAAAGATAATTAAGTACTGATTCAGCTTCAAATACAGTCGACTCTCCCTCTCGTCTTTTATGTCTTTTTTTGTTGTTTTCGTCATGTTACGTCCATCATGTGTGATGTGCAACGTGCACTTGATGTTTGGAAGACAATGATGCAAATAATATTAATCAAATATTAAAGTAAAGTATTTATTCTCCGTTAGTTCCCACCTCTGCTTTTAAGTGTCGTTTGGGAAAAAGCTAATCTATGCAGAGTTTTATTTTGAAATTAAGTCATGGTTTTTATGGCTAACTGAGATAACGAAGGACCATGCAGCCAGGTCCTCTAACTTATTATTATTTATTTCCATTGTTCACCTCTAAGGGACTCCGTATTTTACACTGTTAAAACCAAACACATGATCAAAATGATAAAATGTCCTTTTGAGTATTTCCTACGTGCTGTGTCTTAAAACCAGGATGCTGATGTTAACTCAGCTGATGTTTGAGGTCATGAGGTTTTCTCAGTATTTGCCAGATCATACCTGTCATTAAAAATACACCTTCTCCATCATCCAGCATCCAACGAAGGCTTTATTACCTTGCAGCCAGATTGTTGGATTGCATCACGAGTGAGGCAATGTTCCCCTCTCTCTCCGTGCACACGATAAATAAAGATCTGATTTTCCAAACAAAGAAAACATAATCATCCCCACAGCCCGTCTGAATTATTAACGCTCTCATCATGTAACGGCCTGCAGGTGAGCTCTCTGGATGAGGGTTTGTTTACCATGATAACGAGCTCCTGCAACAATCGCAGCCTGAATCATACAAAGCGTATAAATATTTCTCAGCTTTGTTCAGCAAACTTCTTTAGCACGCTTAAGAACTGACGGTGGTGAATTAGTTATGTAATATTCAGATGTTCAGAAGGGGTCCGGCTGCAGTTGGAGATTTCTGGGCGTCTGCACGGCCGGCGGGCGAACACAATGCTTGGTCTTTGGAGCGTAACCGGGTTCGGCGCCGGACGACAGCCAGGCCGGAGACATGGGGGGGGGGCGGGGGGGGGGGATTGATGATTGGATTGGTTTTGGAGATTGGATGAATTTTGGTTAATCGCAACTTCCCTGGAAAGACGGTGTAAAAAGTCCAGTTTTCAGTGTCAGTTTCTACGTCCACACACACCGCTGATTAACAGAAGCTGTGATAAAGAAGTGCCAACAAGCAGCTAAAGAGGCAGATATTTTCTGTTTCCTGATGTGTAAATGTCTCGGTGAAACACATCTGGATGATGTGAAACAACAATTTACTGTTGAGTTTTAAAGGAAGGCGTGTCACCTCTCACACCTCCTGGCAGACATTACCTTTCTCTCTGTTCCTTTTACTGCTGTTTACATTTGTTTTTTATTGGCAGCAGCTGCTGATATTAATGCCATTAATGAGGTGTATGACTTTATAGTCAACACATACTCAGCCCTGAGTCACAGAAAAATAAAAATGATGATGGTTGTAATGTTGGCGGATGTTGCGATTGAAGCTTTTTCTACCCTGACTTTCTTTGTTCATCCAACTTTCAGTTACTCAGTTACTGGTCAATCTTGAATCTTTCAACAGATCAAAAGAAAAGTTTATTATTTGTGATTTAGAGCTGCAGGGATGACGTATTTTTGCAGTCTAACCAGGAACTGGTTGGAGCCCCAACTGCTTATTTTGACAGAACAAAACTTAAAAAACAGATCCATGGATTTAAAACAGAGAAAGGTTGCATATCCTCACATTTGTGAAGATTTTATGTGATAAATTACAAAAAATCTTATCAGTGCTATTTGCTCAGCGTTAAGCTAACTACAGAGATGCAGTTATGTGAGAATTGGCTTTTTTTTACCACCCGTATTCTCAGCCTCTGATTGGCTCTGACCCTAATCACCTCACTCCTCATACCTCAACCCACCAACTAAACCAAAGTAACCAAAACTAGCCAGAAAACATGTTATGTGGGTATTTAGGGGTGCGTACCTAGACTCACTACGCAATAAGAAGTAAGGGTACTCATGTGGACTAGAATCAGGAGTGAGTCCCGTCTGGTTTCAGGCACTGATCGTTCAGTAAAGGTTGTATCTGAGGTACCTGGATGTGTGTTATTGGGGTTAGAAGTGAAAATATGCATGGCATTCCTCTACAAGCATCTGAAGTGTGTGGGTTTTTTTTGTGTTTGTTTGTACCTGCTGTACAATTCTTTTATTATTATTTGTATGTGTGCATATGTGTGTGTATGTGCTGTAAGTTGTTTCTCAGCGACACCAGAGATGAATTACAGTGTGACAGTGAGTCTCGTCTCTGGTGTCGGGCTCAGGGAGCTCTCTGATTTAGATAAATCACGCCGTCCAGCGTGCGGCTGAATAAACTCCCACTGTAGGTTTTATGAGTCTGCTGCTGCGTGAAGCGGACGCCTCAAACTTAACAGGCAACCACCCCTCCACCCCCCGCCAAAACCACCACCTCCATCCGAAACCCCCGAACGCCTTCCTCCTCATGCAGAGGAAGAACTGACCTAGATACAAAACAAACAGATCTCAGCGCTGCAAATCATGGCCTCCTTAAAAAGTCATTCAGAGCTGGACGCAGATGTAAGAACAGGTTGAAGCTACCCATGGAATACAAATGCAGTGATGATTGTTTTAATAACGGGGAGGAAATTAACCTAGTTTGAGTACATTTATTCCTGAATATCATTGTGTATACGATTGAGTGGCCTCTAGCGGTAAAATTGCAGATTGCAACCAACTAGGAGAAACTAAGGTGGCTGTAAAACATTGCTTTCGATCCGATCCAGAGCCCGTCTTTCGTTTGTCTGTTCTAATTAATTAATGAATCTTAAATACCTATTAAAAAACATGAATTTGTACGTTTTTATTGACATAACTGGTCTGTGATGATTAAATGCAACTCTTGATCGATTAAGCTAGCTAGTACAGTAGTATTAACACATCACTTGAAATGTTTCTGGCTATTTTCGTTACGAATATGTACAATTTCAGGGTCTGTGACGTATTTAAACCTGCATTCTCTCTAACAGCCAGCAGGGGGAGCTCCATTGGCTGCAGTAACACAGATACCATACAGTCTTATGGAGAAATTAGTCAACTTCTCAGTTGATTTATGAGCTCAGTAAACAGTTTCCTGATGAGTTTCTGGTCTCAGTCTCTAGTTTCACCTTCTTCCATACAGCATGATGTTCCATTTATACTGTGGTCATTTAGAGTAAATAGACCATTAAAGGCAAGGGTATGCTTTAGGGCGGGGCTATCTATTGATTGAAGAGTCATTCTCAGTGAGTCCGTCCAGCTCGACGAAACGAAAAATACACAAAAATCACAATAAAAACATGAAAAATATGAAGACTGCAGGAAAAAATCGACAAAAAACATGCAAAAAAATTCACATACAAACGCATCAAACTGTCAAACTAGGCAGTGCTGATCAGATATGGATCCAGATTCTGTTACTGTGTTGACTATTTCTCTCCTCAAATCTGTTCACAAACATATTTTACTGTGTGTGACCAGACGAGCCGCCATTGTTTCCTGCTACTGACGAGTCGAAACTGTGCAGCCAATGAGAGCAGCTTAACTAGCTTTACGTGACCTCCGCTGGCTCTGACAAATTGTAATGCCAACGACCATAACGCCTAACTCGAGGTTTTAAAACTCCACAAACCAATGGGTGACTCATG